TAGTCATGGCCACAAGTTAATCTAGAAAATCTTTTATTTTAAAGTTTAAAATTCATTTAACAACAGGACTCCAAGAATAGATTATAAATTAAAACAGAAAAGAACAGGTTTGTAATCTCTTTCCTAGAAAAAGAAAACCAGATACCAAAAGTTTACTATTGGAGCAGATTTATGTACATAAACTTAGTGTCTGAGAATTGTGTATTCAGTGCACTCATGGCTGAAAGAAGACATTAACAAAATTTAATGCAAGAATGAGCTGTGCCTTTTAAGAGGCAGTATAATAAATTATTGGGACAATGCATCAGCCACTGTGGGATGGTTTTTTTCTGGAATACTTGAAAGCAATATGGGACAGGTTTCTGAAAGCAGTACAGGACAGCTTCCTGAAAGCAAGGACTCAACCAAGGACTCCAAGGTGAATACAAGAGTCACTGTGTAAAATTCTGAGTCACATGAAAGATCAGAGTTTGAATGGTGGACATAAGGCCAACCCAACAAGGAGGGGCAGGTCCATCTGGGTGCAGACTTCAGGATCAGTTCTTTCTCTTTAGAATATCAGAAGACATTCTAGTGATGACCAGTGATGAATTGCTGTCCATGGATAGGTACCTTATTCCAGGTTCTTAATGGACAGCAGCCACTCTTCAGTGATTTATTAAGATTTTGATTTTAAGAAATGCTCTTCCAGCTGAAGTATCTGATGTCTGAAATCTCGGAAAATGTACTGGAAATTTTGAAAAATGCACAGGAGACAGCAGCAAGTCTGAGGATTAAAGATGCTATAATTTTCCTTGCCTTCGAGTGCTAAGCAGTTGACACGTCTTAGTTTGGTAGCAGTTGGATTGCAACAGTCGCTGATCTAGGGATTGCTGTTCAACCAGATGTTTGCATTGTCCTTTGGGACCTTCGGAGAGAAAAATGAAGTATAATCAACAGCTATTATAAATAACAATGGACCCAAAGAGGCTCACAGACTCTGCACAGTATGTTCAGCATTCACACAGAAGTCTGTCTTTGCATTTGCTATGAGAAGAGCAGAACAATTCCCAGAGTGGTCCACCTCCCTCACAGATCTTTTAAGAGTTCGAGTTTCCTGAAAGCTGATGGGAATCTTTCCAGTCACTTCACAGAAAGCTGGATAGGGTCCAGAGAGTGCAGAAGAGGGGTTTATCAGTTTTTCATACTTAATGCCATCCTGTGAAATGTATGTGCCATGAAGGGATAAATAATCTGAGTAAATTTCAAGTATACAGAGCTTACATGGTTACAGAGAAACTATGCAACTACAATGTGCAGCATTCCAGGAAAGAATGGAAATGGGAAGTTAAAAAAGGCAAGTTAAATGAAATGTTCCTGTGGCATATATGAAATCCAGTTTAGTTTAAAAGTTCTGTGCACTTGGATGGAAAAGGAAAAGCTTAAACACCATCCTCAGCACTAGCCAGTCACAGTACAAACTATTTAATGTTGACTGGTACTCCTCTGGGAGTAGTTATGACTTCAATATTCCCTTGATAAATTAATTTCTCCAAGATGTTCCCAGGGCTTGTGTACATTCTACTTGTGGCTGCACTGATAGCAAAGTCACATTCCTCAACTCTAAAAACCCAATAAATACATTGTGTTGTTTTGTGAGATTTGTCTGGTTTGCGTTGGAGAGCCAAGAAAGAGGACATGACATGACCTTTAGCTTATAGCCTGGTTATGAGAACATCTTTTCATTTGTGTGCTGGAGAAGTACACTGCTCCTTTCAGGGAGCACAACCAACAGGACAAGTATGACCAACTTTGGCCACACGTGGGAAAGAGATAATGACAGCATACTATGACCAGTGGTATTGGGTCTTAAAATGGATATTAGGTGCATGAAACTCACATTAATGAAATACAGATACTTTATTCTAACAAGACAGTCTATAAACACAGCCCCTAGCCTGCTCTAGATGCCTGAAACATCACTGCTGTTTCCTCTAAAATTCTTCTATCCAGTCTTGCTCCTCTTCCTGATTAGAGATTTTGTTGTATTGGGCTCATATAAGATAACATATGTGAATGGTAGGTGAACATTTCTGTCCTCCACAAAGGGAAATCCCCAACCACTCTCACCTGTTGCTTCTTCCTAGTGCAGACGTTTGGTTGAAGTTTGATCAAATCTGAAGCCTCTCATGATGGAGCTTGTTCCCACTGTCACCTTTCAGGGCACTGAACCTGTCCCTGCCAGTCTGCAGATGGAATAGGAGCCTTCCTCTCTTGCCAAGTCTCATGTCTCCAACCTCCTCCATGTCTGTCATTCACCCTTGAATCCATTACAGCCTCTGGCCATCCCTCCTTTGTTGTGGCATAGGTTCAGTCTCTTGCCTCTGAAAGGTCTCTGTGCAGATCCTGTTAGTCCTCCTGGACGTGGCTAAACCTGCTCACCTCCTGTGGCAGCTCCTTCAGCTGGCAAGTCAGTTCCTTAACCAGAGGATGTTTCCATTACTCCCAGTCCCAGAAGTACCAGGCACTCCCTGCAGCCCAAGTCTTGGGTGGCCAAGCCCTCCCTCTAAACCTACCTGATCCTCCAGAGATAATTTCTCCAGTTTGTGATCTGGACCATGCCCTTGGCATGTCTGGTTTTTCAGCAGCCACTTGCTCTCCAAAGCAGTTTTTGAGATACTTCTACATCCAGTTCTGTACAAGGTGCTGGGTCTGTTAATTAGACAACTATGTTCCTGAAGAGATGAGCCCTCATGAAGTTCAACAAAGAGAAATGCCAAGAATTGCATCTCAAGAGGAATAAACCCAGGCACCAGGGTGGGCTGAAGCACTTATATGTCTGAAGCTATTATTATATTAGTTGAAATAATATTTTTTATTAAAAAGAAAAAAACAAGCAAACTGAAAAAAATCTGAAGAAATTAAAAGCAGCTGCAAGACTATTCATCACAGTAGATTGGATTGTCTGAAAAAAATACCCCAAATGTCACATCAACATTCCTGATTATATTAAGCCCCAAAAAGATGTTCTCATGATAGTTACTGTGCCACAGATAACAAAGTGAGTCAGAAACTTGAAATACATCCAGAAATGAATGGAGGGGGTGGAGGCAGGAGGGTGTCCAAACCAAAAATTAAGATAAGGGTTAGTTTTCTCCCATGAGCTCATTAAATTGGATATTTTGGCTGCAGTTGTATGACAGCAACTCGACAACTGTGAAAGGGACAGTTTCAGTACATTTATCCTCAGTATTGCCTTAGCTTGTTAGATTCCTGGAGAAAGTAAACCAGGTCCCAGTTTTCTAACATATTTCGTCTCCTAATTTAACCTATCTGAAAATATTTTCCATTTCTTTCAGTGTCATGATCAATGAACTTTTTTTTTTTTTGGATGGTCATTTCAGAGAGCTGGAAACACTGCTGCATGTGAAGTTGTTTCCTGGGGAACCCTCTGCAAGGCTTCTCTGAAACTCAGTCTATCAGTCACAGTACGATGGCTTTTTTTATAACCCGCCATGCAAGACTAAGTAGCCAGATGGCTTTTATTCTCTCTCAGCTTTAAATGGACACCTATCAGTTTGTAAAGCAGTGACTCTGAAAGGTCACAATCAAATTTAAATGCCCCACTCTATTATTCTTACCAAAACTGTGTTTCATGCTAATGAGGTCTAGAGTAATGAAAGAAATTTATTCAAAATTTACTTGTATTGCAGGAGCAAAATGGGTGATGAGAAATGCTGTTACAAAACACTGTGGAATTTGGCCTTTGGTACCTCTTAATGACCTGTCACATGCAATGAAAATTGTCATTATGTTCCCATCACCAACTAGAGTTGCTGGCAGAACAAAAATTATAGCAGTTTTGTATGGTTTTGTTTACTGTTAAGTATTCAGACTCTTTTCTCTATGTATCTACCTATTAATTGCACCATTAATTGGTCTACACATTATTGCATTTCCTTTCTTTTCATTTTCAGAAGAAACTGGTGACTCTCTTTGACCTCAAATCCTCTACCACTTTATCAGTATTCTCGTTCTCTGCCAATTGATCATCTCCAATTACAGCACTGATTGCAGATTTTTAAAGGTCGCAGTAAGAAGTAGCATTCAGGGGTAGCAAGACTGGCTGGCCAGCAAACTAAACAGGGATAATTTCTTTCCAAACATAACTTGCAACCGTCACGAGGCAACTTATTAAATTAATTGTATTTAAAATTCTATACTGTCTTATATTTCAACAGAATAATGCCTAAAGTATATTAAGTGACAGCCTATTCCTTGCAAATAATTTTTTGTATGTACTTGAACGGTGCCAAACACAGGCAGTCCTTGGTCCCCCATTTGATCCTGTCTGCCTACCGCAATAAAAGGACCATACCTTCTATGATGATGTTCCAATCTCATAGTAATGGTAGCTTTTGCTCAGAAGTACTTGGAATCTGGTCCATTCCTTCTTCAAAGTTTGCTTTCATTTTAGATTAAGATGGTAATGCTAAGTGATAAAAGCCCAATTTCTCCAATCCTTTTATTCTAGTCATATATACCTGGTGACTTCAAAGACTACCATCAAATTTTTATGAGAATCCATCTCCAGGAAGACAGTGACAAATTATATACGCAATCTAATTTGATTTCACAGGCAGGAATGTCTCAGATGCTACAATTAGTGTCAAATCCAGACAGCTTCAGACTTCACCGGAACCTCCAAACAGAGGCAAAAAACCCAATTTAGTTGGAGACAGCAGGCAGAAAACGCTGAGCTGCTGTGTTATCTTGTATGCTCAACTTTTCCAGAAGTAAAACTAATTTAGAGTATTGGTAGAATGTAGTAAATATCCTGACCTTGGAATAAGAAGAGCACTTCAAGGAAAAATACCTGGGTGTCTTTTCACAGCTAGCAATAGCAGAGCCGCACTTCATAGAGAGGAAATCACACTTCTATGACATAGGCTGTCTCCTGCCCCTTTTCAGGTATCTACTTAAAGAGGAGACAAATTGAGCTCTATCTTTCCCTGGCCATGATCACCGACTCTCCAGCAAGTGACACTAACAGCTGGGTAACACACTGGAAGCCTTAGGAGAAGAGGGTGAGATATCTCCTCTAAAGGAGGCAACTCTGGCAAGATCTTGGCTCCAACTGTTGTTAAAACTATTTTTTCAAAACAGCAGAGATGTGGTAGGTGAGGCACTAAAACACAGATAAGAACTCAGAAAACTGAGAGTAACTTCTGCTACTTAAAAGGCAAAAAATGAAAAATACAACTTTTATTTTCAGATTATCTTCAAAGGACAAAACTCCAATGTATTTCCATTAACCCTTAAAAGCTATTGACAAATCTGCAAAAAAGAATCTCCAGACTAGTCAGTGTAAATATCTGCAGATACAGGGAGATAGGTGAAGTTTCTAATGCCTCTTTTAAAAATTATTTTATTATATTTGTATCTATTCTGTAGAAATGCTTGAGGTCTTTAAAGCAAAGAAAACCTTGTAGCTGTCTCCGTACACATTTAATAAAGTCATCTGTTACCTTTTTGTCACATTTCATGCCTTGTCTTCCTATCCATTTCCATTTCCTACTAGTCATTACTCCCTCTCCCTTCCATAAATGTAAAAAATATTTGAGGTACTGAGGTTCATTACAGCAGTAATGAACCCACATTAAGGATGATAGCAAGTCAGTGCTCAAGCCAGCATTCTACCCTATTCACTTTACTGGTGCAGCTCCAACACTACTGCCACAGTTCCTGGAGAGAAACAAGCAATTCAAGAGAACAACTAATCATATGCCTATTAACTTGCTCAGCCATCCTCCTGTAGTTATGTTTTTCCTAGAGTAGCCGTTTTTGACTAAGTAGGCAAACTTACAGATGCTGAAATTGAAGCAGACCCAGTCTCACTTTCCAGCAGTCAATACTAGGCAAGTAAACACAGTGGAAGCTGTACCATAAGTATTTAATTGCAAATAGCCTTAAATTAACATTCTTGAAAATAATTTTCAGTGAGCTTCAATTCTCCCAGTTACCACAGAATATGTGAGTTTTCTCTCTAAGCATGTTGCAGCATGTCACTTGCAACAGGCAGTCAGCAGCACAGCTGCAGTTACCTTTCAGGACACTCATTACCAGCCACTATCTATTTCATTTCTGCATGGTCTTCTGTTCATTCATTCTCCAGGATGGGAGACATTGTGATGAGTTGGAGCCTGTTAGAAACTTCTGATGAGGCTTCTCTTGCATATTCTATCCCTGCACATCAACTAGGACAGACGCTAAGATTGAAAAACTGTCTTCATGGCTAAATTATTTCACCTCCTGAATCATATGCTAAGTCAAGATAAAACCAGTAAGAGCAGAAAACTGCAAAAATTTCCAAATAGCTTTCATAAGAATAACCGTGATCAAATTCAGGAGCAAAGCATATCTTGGTTTAGGAATTTTCATTATTCCATATTGTGAGTAAAATTTTAGATAAGCGTAGGGATGTCCATCAACCCCACAAAGAAACATAAAATGGGAAGCTGCTTTCAGCCTGTGCTCGCAGACACATAGTGCCAATACATGCATAGTAAATAATGTCAAATAATAGAATAGCAATCAGTACACAAATTCAAAGGATAGAGAATGGGATGAGGATTTTTTTTACAATAGATTGAAAGTAGGAACAATATGAAAAATCCAAGAACAAATATCACTTTTACTGACTTTGGCACATAGAGTAGCCTGGGCAAATGTGATTCTAACATCTGCCTGATACAAATGCCATTTATTAACACCGTGTTGAAAGAAGGCACTTCCCCTACAAAACCTTCTGTAGGCTGCTCAATGTATAGATGGATTCATCAACATTCATTAAATAAATTGTCTAATTGTGATAAGAAGTGTTTGCTGACCCTTAGAAAGCTACCTATCTCTTTAGTTTGTGTTTCAGGCAAGCAGCTCAGAGGGCAGTAGAACTAATGTAGCTGCAGATAATGGAAATGGACTTGAGTAACTAGGCAGAGGCATGGCTAAATAGCTTTTAAATGAGATTGCAATTGTGGGAGGGAGGAGATGTAATAGAGGTCATCTCAGAGAGGTGCAGGAAGGAGCAGCTCCTGCAAGTTTAGATAAATAGTTGGAAAGATGTTTTTCTCTCTCTCTGGTTGACTGGAGGTTAACTCTGAGAGTGCTGGTGTTTCTAACTTTAAAAACATCATCAATAAATACTCTTTAATTTTCCTCTCTCTTCCTGCTTTTCTACCCCATATGAAGCTATATGCTTTTCACCTTCAGAAATAAACAAAATCCATCATTATTGTTCAATGGCCTAACTCAAGCCCTTCATGGGAACAAGAGCCAATAGATCCTCTCACCAGCCAATGAAGTCAGTTGCCATGAGTGTAATTAGTTTTGTTTTGCTCTGTTACATAGCAAGACCAGTGAAAAACTTTTGAAAAAATAAGTCTGGGTCAGAAATGAAAGAGTCCAGATTTTGGGCTCCTTGATCTTTGAGGGTATCTTGTCAAGATGCAGGATCTCCTCTTCCTAGTCTTTCAGTTGGATTTGTCTCCCACTTAGAGGAACCTCCCTATGGATATTCCTGTCACTTACTATAAATTATGGAGAAAATCACAGACCTACTCCTTGGAAATACCAGAAACATGCAAGAGCACAGGCCAGAGCAACCTACAGAAGGTAACCATGCTTGAGCAGAGGGTTAGGCTAGATGATATCCAGAGGTCCCTTCCCACCTCAGCCTCTCTCTTTTTGAAAATCTCAAAAAATTTATTGGGTCTGATGGCTGTATTTTGGATGACTAGAGGAGATAAGTCCAAGCCATTGAAGTTATGCTAGCCTTGAAGAATATTCTTTATAAAGAAAAGTCCTAAATAAACTATTAACTGAGCTTTTTGCTCACTATCAAGAGCTGAGCTGCACCTCAGCTTGTTGAGGTTTCAGGAAAAACAGACAAGGAAAACAGTTGCAAATAGCTGTTTTCTCTCTAATTTCTTTTTTAATGTCAGTTCCAATATGGAAACATAAAAGAGGTCCCTCTTGCCAGGAAGTGCTGAATAAAAGTCTACAGGGTTGAGTAAAAATCCCACTTCAATCTTCTATAGAAGAGAAAAGCAATGTGACTGGGATGGGAAAGAAAGAAGTATAAGAACTGGTGCAATGATTGGATATCTTACTGATATTACTCTTTCATGAAGAGATGAGGAGAATTCTGGAAAATTACAGCTAAAGTTTGGATTTGTCAACAGCAAAACAATTTAGTGAGCAGATCTCATAACACCAAACTGTGAGAGCAACTACTGTCGCAGTAGGACTATTATTAAATCTCATGAGATTTTTAGTGGCAATTTGACTTGAAAGCAGAATTGGAAGTGGAAACTGTCTTAATCCTCTTCTTTTCATAAAAAAAAAAAAAATCAGATGTCATTTGGATTTTGTACCAAATCTTAGAGAATTCTTTGGTGCAATACTTGCTGCACTCTCATTATTAAGTGGTCACAGAGTTTAGCAGCACTTCTCAGAAATTTAGTACCCAATATAAGAGTAAGAAATTAATGTGCAATGGATTTTAATTGTTTAAGCTTAATCTTATCTTTTTAATCTTGCACTACAGGCCCCATGAATGACTGCTATGACTTTTTTTTTTTTTAGGGCACAAAGTGTGTGAGAACTGATGTTTGGTCCAGAAGATGCATACATTCGTGCTTGTCTTAAAACATTTAGACAATGACCATGAAAGAATACTCCCATATTTAGTCCATGGCTAGGACCTCAAAAGACAAGATAGCCTCTGAATGTCTGAAAGAACAGACAAATGTAACAGCATGGCAGACGTCATGCTTCCTGTTGTACTACCTGATGATATGCAAATCTAGCCCCATACTGTAAATGCTAGAAGAAAAATGTCACTGTGTCCCTTTCAGGGTAATTGCTATGGAGCAGGGTTGATTTCCTTGAAATTCGGACTCAGAGTTCTTTGATGAATGGATTGAAGATTTCATTTTTACCTACAATATAGAGAATCTGGATGTTTACTCTTCATTTTCTGTGTTTCTATTCTCCAAAGGAATAACAGCAACAAAAATCCCTTTTCTGCCTGCAGAATTTGAAAGGATAAGAAGACTTTTTGCTATCTTAAATAGCCCTAAAAGTTTCTCATTTCTCAAAGCACTGTCCTCTGGGGTAAAATAAAGATGTTTTCAGAAAAATAACTATTTCTTCTTCCTGTTTCAAAGCCAGCATTTCTACTAAACCCTGAAATGGACCCTGTACAAGGATGAAATAATCCCATAAAATTATTTTCAAAGGTGGTGTAATTTTAGATACAGCATTCATAGCTTCAGCGCAAAGAGGATGGAATAGAAATATTCAGAGACTGAGTAAAAATCTTGTGGAAAAACTGAAGCTCAATGATGCAACTATACTCTTTGATAAGCCCAAAGAGTATATAAATAATGAAACATTTTATTCAGCTTCTGGCTACACTTGTTCTAAACGTGCATCTGTTACCTTGAAAAGCTAAGGTTTATTTTTTACCAGCAAAGAGAAAGCTGAGACTGTCACACAGCATGAGGATACCAGCAGCTTCTATTTGCGTGAAAACACAGTCAGTTTTGAAAACAAAATTAACCCGAAAAAGTTCACAAATCATTTTATAGCTGGTTTTCAGGTAAGAACTCAGGACTTAAGGTGTTGTCATCTTCTTGGACAAGGTTTATAAATTCTGACATAAATACAATCCATGTATTCAGGGAGTTCTTTGATGTTGCCAGATTTGAAAATTCATATCATTTTTGGTGTCCTGTCAGACCTTATTTGCAAAGCCTCCACAAGTTCCAAAATTTACTAGATCTTCTGATCTGCATCACTAGATCACTAGATCTGCATCAAGAATATTTGATTATTTCTCCTATGTTTTTGAATACTTGGGATGCTAAATCAAGGCTATCCAGGAGGCAGGCATGGTTCTGCTTCCACCTCTCCTGATGTGGGCTTCTGTGTATAAGGCCAGGGAAGAGTCAATAACCAACAGTTTCCACAGGAGATGAAGAGGGAGCAAAATTAGCCAAGTGCTTTGGGACAACTCTACTATGATTTTTCTCCTCTTACCTGAAGATTGTCATGTTATTCTGCTCACAACTTCAGAGAAGCAGGGGTGTTCTGGTGAGGGATATCTGTCTTGGGTCTGCTCTTTGGGACTCCTGGTTATTGTGGAGTTAGACACTGGCATCTGACAGGATGGTCTGAAGAGGGTCACAGTAAGCACACAAAAATATTTTCTTCTAATTGGCAACCTAATGGTATTTTGTCATTAATCAGGGGCAATGTGGCTCATTGTGTGCGAGTCCAGACAGATATAATTCATGTTTTGTTCTGCCTGTGAGAGAAACCTTAAAAATTGGAGAAATTAATTCCCCTTTGAGCTGAAGGATAATTGGATAACAGAGCCTGTTGTTAAGATAACTGCAGATCTGCTGCCCTTGGCATTTCTGCACAATACCTTACAGACCCTTCCTTCTTGGCAGCTTCTGAGAGCACCAGTCTTCAACTTCTGATCCTTTCTGCTATGAACAGGGAGACCAAGTACTCAGTGGCCAACAGCGCTCAGCCTTGGCAGTGGATGATCATTGTGGAGTCCTTCAAAGCCAAAGAAATGTTTTAACTTAACTCACAATTTGGAAGTTTTCAAAAATAACATCCATTAAAACTTAGAATGTGAGTTTTGGTTTAATACCCATGGGAAATGGTCTTTGATTATTGTAGTTGCTGGGAGCTGGTAAGGTCACATGTGACTGGGGAAGCAGAAAAGGAGTGAGAACAGGCAAAAATCACTGATCTAGAACCATAAGATAGGAGCCTTACTGAGCTTTGAGAAAATACTTGGTGCCAAAGGAACTCCACCAGTACCTACATGGGCAACATGCTGATCCCTTGTGCTGCTTCCTGCTTATCCTCCCAGGGAGATGGGAAGGATGGGGAATGCTGGCCTTTAAACCAGTTCAGTTTTCAAACTCACTCTTTACTTCTTTCTCCTGAACTGTTTCATCTGCCTTAGGGTAATAAACTCATTCTTAAGTAAATAAAGAAGAAAAAACACTTAACAGCCCACAAGTGATTGGTCATGTGGGATCAATCAAAATGACAGGTTAAATACAGCAAAAATATCATAAAAACACACTGCAAAACAAAATGTATTTGCCAAAATGCAAGATCAATAAACCAGCACAACAGTAAACAATTTTTAGATTATAAAGAGGCATCAAACTTCTTCATTTCTTACAAAGTTCTTAACATCAAGCATTTTTTTTTTAACATAGAGAAGAACAGAGTTCTACGGATGAGCACCTGACCTTACAGTCTCACAGCCCACATTTTATTCAAAAACACACTAAACAGATTTTCAAGACTGTTTGAAGTGGAAGTGACTTGTATGATGTTTTCTGTGATACTGCATGACTTAATGTCAAAACTTACAAATATCAGGAGGAGTGTTCATATTTTCCTGTTGTGTAAGATTAAGCAGCCTGGAATAGCAGTTACTTTTCAGAGATACTACTACAATGCCTGCAACTCTTCCCATCATTTCCTTGCTACATTTTCTAGTACATAAGAGTTCTGCAGCTCTGCAGCTATTGGAACTGAAATTTTGAAGGAAGCTTCTGTCTGGCATTGAAGTTTACCTGAACTCTTCAGAAGTACACTTTGGGGGCTAGGGGTGGGAGTAATATAGTTCCAGGCTCTGCTAAAACAACTCAGGTAAGCTTTGCTTTGAAATTGTTTCTCACCCTGTGCTTCAAAGTAGGAGTGCCTTATTCAGCTAAGTGATTCACTTTGTGCGGCCAATATCAACTCACATTTGGCCACACTTTGCAGTTTTCAAAACCCGCAATAGATATCTACTCAGTTGATGCTACCTAGAGCTGGTTGCTAAACTCTTCAGAAATTTTGCATAAATGTAGCAGAGAGCTTATCAATAGCCACAGGAGAAGTGGTGTTAGGTAAAAAAAATGGGTTTGTGGTATAGGGAAGATTTAAATGGAGATTGCCTAAGTAAAAAATGGGCATTGGGGAAATGGAGGAAGAAGCAGGATATGCTCACAAGAACAGACAGCCTGGTAACTGAATTTTGGTTTAGAAACTTAAGAGCTGACAAGAGGATATTAAAGGTGGATGGATAAAGGCATCAGAAAACTGTTACTAGAAAGAGTAACTGGTTGGATAGAGTTTCTGTGATAATTAGAATGATGGGACTGAAAGCCAGAAAGAGCTGGGGAAAGAAAGGTGAGATCCAAATGGAGACTGACAAGGATGAAGATAGAGGATAAGGCAAGTACTTGGGGATGAGTTAAAGTCTGAGGTATTTTGTTCTCAGCTGTTGACTGCTGCTTCCTTGTCTTTTGGGAAAGCTGTAGGAAAAGTTTATGACTGCTAGGTTTCCACAGACTGACCTGTCCAGTGCCTGGTTTAGCCTTTGCCTGCATGTAACAATATCCCTATGTCCTCCAGCACCTTAGCAAACACATAAGAGGAAGTAGGTGCAGGATGGTTCCTTTGGATGTAAGATTTCCCAGAGAGAATCTGGCTAATATGGGATTTCTACAGAGGCAGCAGTAGGACATTTAATGCAGTTATCCTTTCAGCATGAGAGAAGGGGAAACTGATGGAAAGGTGACTTATTAACAGCTCTCTCAACAACACAACAAAGAAGTGACATTCAGGGCTTCTGGCAATCTTTCTAATCTTGCAAGAGACCAAGTATTTCCCAGTTGTTTCCAAATTATTTCATTCATGTGCTGATAAACATTTCAGGACAACAGCTGAGTTACAGAAGAGACATAGTCAGGGGCTTGGGGGGTTATTTTTCATTCTTTTGTAACCAAAGAGAAAACAATTCATCCACAATATGTTTTTCATTTGTCTGTTACTCAGCTATGTCCTAGAATTGCTGCTTTCTCTAGCACTTTTCCCCCTTCATAATGCACAAAGCATTCCTGTTATCTCTGCATAGTATTATAAGACAGATTTCCTCTCCTCTATAGTAAAATGCTAAATCCACTAGAGGGGGCATCCATCCTACCCGATCTTTGCCATACTGAAAGACCCTCATGTTTCCATTGGCTTTTCAGACTCCCTCTTTCCTCCAGCATGACTACCCACCCTGCTCCACAGATCGATAAGGCCCTAATGAGGCCCTTTCACTGAAATCTTACCCTATGTAAATGTTGCTGTGTCAACAAATATTTACAAAATCCAATACCTATGTGGTGTTTATCATAATTGTTTTTGAGCTTTGTGGGAAAGGTCATTTTTCATCCAGATGCTTCCCTTCCCCTTTAACACCACCAATATTGTAGAGGAAAGATCAGAGCTTCCTGCAAGGTTCTTGTTATGATGTATTGACTCAACTGGTCTTTCAATAAACTAAGTTTTAAAAAAACCTTCCTAAATTATATATAAGCTGTCCATGTAGACACCTGAGCTACAGAATAAAGAAATGGATTATCATGTACTGCAGTAAAGGGTGTGTCTTAAGGACTGAAGACATTCATACATAAATGTCCCTTTAAACTTTGAGGTGATGGAACCCGGCCAGTATTGTTACAAGACTGTAACAATACTTTTGAACTATCCTACTGTCACAGGCTGCAGCAAGTTTTTTTCTACCTCTTGTTGCTGTGCAGCATATCAGAGTAGAAGCTTTGTGTGTGGCTTCCCACATCAGTGCTAGAGGCTGCTGCATCTCCCTCAGAGGGAGGGAATTGTGGTGCATGCCTATGAAGAGCTCACAACATGTTTCAGTTTAGAAAGAACCATGCTAACATAAAATAATATTGTTGTTTCCC